AGGAGAGTCTTGGAGGGGCGAAAGGAAGAGGGACACGGGCTGAGGAGCATTGGTGAGGCGATGGGCTGGGGTCTTGGTATGACTTCAGTAGCTTTTGGGTCTCAGTGCTCTGCCAGAGCAGAGTTGGGTACAGTGTGGATATCCCTGCCCATATGAATGAGGCTCTTCCATTATGCTCTTTCAAGAGCTCATACCTCTGGCCTTCTCTGGAGCAGGACTGTGGGAGTTGGGGGATTTATCTGGACCTCTACCAGCTTCTTAGACTTTCAACCAGTCTTCTCAAAATGCTCGTTTCACTGCCCCCCCCAACTGACGGCCAGAGAGAACTTTGTACCCTAATCCATTCCTTTCTCAGAGGGCTCTACAGAGTAACTGTGGATGATCCTCAGATTTCACCATTACTGGCATAGGAGGTGTCCAGAGCTGGATGGTGAGACATGTCAGTCACTATTAATAAAAACAAAGGGCTACTGTTATGCAAATCAACCTTTCCACCTGTCATTAGCTGGAAGAGAAGGATGATTCATCATATGGGGTAATCGCTAGGGAGCTGTTCTAGCTAGCAGGGGGATTTTCCAACTGTAAATATCTAAGGATGCAGAAATGTGTCAGTGGAGTTCAATCAGTAGAGAATGCATGGATATATGGTTTCTATGAATGGAAAGATTTCTGAACAGGCTTTAAGTGAGGTATACGGATATCAAGGGTACGTATTTCTGATTGGCAAGATTTGACAAGGGGGCTCGTCAGTGTCATTCCTAATGGACAGTGGGTGCGTGCCCATATACCATCTTTTTTTAAGATTTATTTTTTAAAAAGGGTTATTTATTTATTTGAAAGTCAGAGTTACAGAGAGAAAAGGAGAGGCAGAGAGAGAGAGAGAGAGAGGTCTTCCATCTGCTGGTTCACTCCCCAATTGGCTGCAACAGCCAGAGCTGCACCTATCCGAAGCCAGGAGCCAGGATCTTCCTCCAGGTCTCCCACGTGGGTGCAGGGGCCCGAGGACTTGGGCCATCTTCCACTGCTTTCTCAGGTCATAGAAGAGAGCTGGATCGGAAGTGGAGCAGCCAGGACTCGAACCAGCACCCATATGGGATGCCAGCACTGCAGGCAGTGGCTTTACCTGCTATGCCACAGCGCCAGCCCCCCATGTGCCATCTTGATGTACGAATGGGAGGTTTTCAACAAGAATTCTATCATGGAAAACTTTATGATTAGAGAGATTTGTCAACTGGGGGTATATCAATGGATGGGGAGTTATGAAGAGAGATTTTGTTGCTGGGCTCCATCAGCAGGCAATAGATTGCTGCTGTGTGTTTGTGAATGGAGAAATTTGTCGCTGGGAGTGATGCATGGGGAGATAGTGCTGGAATATTTATGAATAAGATGTTTCTTAGCGAGGCAGTTCTGAAAAAGAGGATTTGTCACAGTGGGGAGAGAGGACCTATCAAAGGAAGGACTTGCCAAGGGCTTGGGATGTGGCATGTGTAGTCGTGGCAACAGTACAGATTTCCAAAGACAAGGATTAGTCCCCAGTGAGGACTTCATGGTGGGGAATATTATCATGGGGTGGGGGTTCCCTCAGAAGCCTTTGTCAGTGGAGAGATTGACATACTCTAAAGCAGTGTACACACTTCACACTACCAAGAAAAATATCACAAGTGAGCTTATTAAGTATTTGTAACAGCCCTGTAGAGCAGCTCAGCCCTGGCAGAGATGATCATGTTCATCTTAAACTAACGTTTCTAAGGGCTGCCTAGGAAGCTCACGCTCCATATTGGAATGCCTGGTTCCAGTCTTGGCTCCTCTTTTTCCAATCCAGCTTCCTGCTAATGCATACCCTCTGAAGGCAATGTAAGATGGCCCAAGAACCTGGGTTCCTGGTCCTTGCAGGAGACCAGAATGGAGTTCCTGGCTCCTGACTTTGGCCTGGCCCAGCCCCAGCTCTTGCGGCCATTTGGGGAATGAACGAGTGGATGGAAGATCTCTCTTTCTCTCTCTTTCTCTTTCTGTGTCTCTCAAATAATGTGAAAATAGATGATTTTTTCAATTAAAATACATTTTGTAGAAAAATGAGGTTTCCAGGCTGCATCAAATTATTGCTCATAAGATACAATATTTATAATATTGTTTTATGCTTAATATAAAATATTATTTGAAATATTGTAGATAACTATGAGTGGTAAGAGTATCACTACTAAAGTTATAAATTACAATTATTTTGCCATAACTACTACTTGGAAGTTTCCATGTACAACCTTATTTAATGTGTACATTGTCCTTATGCATTAGGCATATTTTAAAAATATATATTATTTATTCATTTATTTGAGAGACACAGAGAGCTCCCATCTACTGGTTCACTGAGCAATATTTCTAACAGGTACTGAATTCCTAGACAGGCAGTGTGGTGTGCCGGCTAAGAGCATGAGCTCTGGAGCCAGGCCATCTGCATTCAAATCCTGGCCCTGCCATGTCCTAGCTGTGTATCCTGGGGAAGTCATAGTACCTTTCTGCAGCTCGGTTCCTGCACGGGAATAAAAAGCACACTCACTTATGGGGCCGTTGCTTGGCCTGGTCATGAAAACACCAGTTGAGTTGCCTGCATCCCATATCTGACTGCCTGAGTTCGAGTCTCAGTACTGGCTCATGATTCCAGCTTCCTGCTAATGCAGACCCTGGGAAGCAGTGGTGATGGCTCAAGTGGTTGGGTTTCTGCCACCTGGGTGGCATACCTGGATTGAGTCCTGGCTCCAGATTGCTCAGGAAGTTATTGTTATGAGAGTCTCATGTGTTCTCACCTGAGAAATGCCCATGGGCCAGCCAGCCTAGAAATCCTCCAACCTCAGCAGCCTTCTGAAGGATTCTGCAGGGGGGCTGTGATGCCCACTTTTTTAAAAAGATTTATTTATTTATTTATTTGAAAGTCAGAGTTACACAGAGAGAGAAGAAGAGGCAGAGAGAGAAAGAGAGAGCGGTCTTCCATCCAATGGCCCATTCCCTAATTGGCCGCAATGGCTGGAGCTGTGCCGATCCGAAGCCAGGAGCCAGGAGCTTCCTCCGGGTCTCCCATGTGGGTTCAGGGGCGCAAGGACTTGGGCCATCTTCCACTGCTTTCCCAGGCCATAGCAGAGACCTTGATCGGAAGTGGAGCAGCCAGGACTAGAACCAGCGCCCATATGGGATGCTGGCACTTCAGGCCAGGGTGTTAACCCACTGAGCCACAGCGCTGACCCCCAGATGCCCACTTTTTAGGAAGAAAGACTGAAGCTCAACTGAGAGAAGGGCCAGTCCCCAGGCTACTCACTGAGCTGCACACCTCATGCAGCTGTGACCCCCACATGCTTGCTCTCAGCTGTCACTGACTCTCTCCCAGAGGTTCACACACAGATCCACTGAACGCTGGGGTTAGGGGATGCTCAGTTTACTCCCTCTAATGGATTTTCTAGAAGAATGATAAGCAGACACAGTGATCCCAGGGCTAGAGAACCTGCCAGGAGCTCATGCCAAGGCCCTAGGGGAAGTAGCCTTGTGCACGCCGTGGTGGATTCTATGTACCCTGACAAACTGGTCGGCCCCATCCGTGCTGCACTGGCTGCTGTTGGTTCAGGGACCTCCCGAAGGGTGCACATGCTGGCCAGGGAATGGTCTGCATGCTGAATTCCCTGCCACCTCCCAGTTCAGCTTCCTCCCAGGGCTCAGATGAGCTGAGGGCTCAGCAAATGGGCCCTGAAGGCAGGAAAGAGCTTAAGAGTGCAGGGAGTGGGTACTGGGGTTGGGGGAACTGTCAGGAGCTTCCAGAGGCTCACAAGCAGCTGAGGGCCTAGTGACAGAGTCACCAGAGCCAAAGCAGGGCCTGGCCCTTCCCCTACACTTGCACAAATCAGCAAAGACCGCCATTTGCTCTTTTTGGTGGACAGGGTCCAGACCATCCTAGATATGAGCAAGGTGCCAGTGGCAACATAGAACCTGCTGCCACAGTGGGCCTGGCCTGTTCAAGCAGTCACTGCTGCATGCTCCTCTCCCATCTGGATCTGGGACATATCTTGGGCCCTGGGAGAATCTCTCAGGCGTGCAAAGGGCTTTGAGACAGGACCATAGAGGCTCTAGAGCCCATGCTGGGTGACCTAGAATGCTCCAGAGGACACCTGGATTCATACTGGTAGTAGTCTGATGGGGAAGAATTGTGGTCCTTTTCTTCAGCAAAGATTGGGACCTTTTATAAGCAGATTTGGGTCAACAGCACACTTGAGTGTTCCACTGAATGTCTGCATTCATCTGAAACTCTGATCCCCACCTGTGTCTGGACTTTGGAGTATCCCAAGCAGGTGTCAGGGGCTGGAAAGGGGCCAGAGGGCCCCAGGCCCAACTTTAAGCATAGGGAGGCCCAGGAGTGCTGGGAGGATCTCTCTCAGGTCTTGTGAAGGAAGACAAGCCAGAAAGCTGAGGGTTTGGTGCAGAGATCTCAGTTTGGGTGCGGCACCAGCTGGGTAAGGGGAACCTGCTGCTTAGGCCTCATGATGAACCCTAGCGGAATTTCAGTGCTGTCCACGTTCCCTTTAAGACTGGTCAGAGGAGTGAGGGGAGCAGGGAGAGGGGAGAGGGGACAAGCGGAGAGCTTGGGGGTTTTGAGATCACACCTTCTCTCCATCTCACCTGTCCTGTGTCCCCACACAAGCCCTCCTAAGGAGTCATCCACAGGCCAGAGCCAGGGCTCGAATCCCTGGCTGGGTGACTTTGGGGATTTAGGGATCCTCTGAAGGTTTCCCCTTTGGCTCGAGTCATTTCCAGTACAAAACTCAAGGGTGAGGACAGGAACGCTCATAGTTGGGCAGATCCCCAGTGCTAATACCAAGCCTGAGAGTTAAAAGCACCACATCACATTTTAGGTGAAAGATTAAAAAAAAAAAAAACAAACCAGCACCTAGTATCCATCACTGCCCTCGGCACAGATCCCAGAGTGCTCCCACCAGGTCATCAGCAACACGGGAACAGTGTCTGCAGGGTGGTAGTTCTTTATTTCATTGTGTGGGACAAAGAAAGATGGGGGTAGGAGGGAGGCAAACATGGTGTAGGCTTCGGCTTCCAACAGGAGCAGCCTTCAGTCTTTCCGGGGCCGCAGGGACTGCCAGGCGCACAGCCCAGGCTCCTGTGGCAGGCAGGCGAGATGGCGGCTCTGGAAGCCCTTGTCAGAGCCTAGGAGGAGCTGGTCTGTCCACAAGCAATGAGTGTCACTCTCCAGATGGCAGGGGATGGATGCACAGGCAAACACCTACAGGAGAGGTGGGAGGACACAGCTGGGAGGGCTGCCCTCCTCCACCTACCTCCCCTACCAAGACGCTTTCCCTCCTCAACTTGCAACACGAAGCGGTTAGGGGGACTTGGTGTCGCCCCACCTGGGTTCAGACCCAAGAACAGCCCCTCTCTCGCTGGGAAATAGTAAACCAGAGAAAGGACCCGCATCCTGGAATGGTGGTTGGGGAATGGTCGCTGGAGGTCAGTCTGGCAGGTCTCCTGGGGGATTGTGCTACGGGACATCTGGAAGTCGTGGGGTCGTGGGGTAATGGAGTGTGGGGAAGTAGAGTGTAGCAGTAGCTAGTGGGCCTCTGAGGCAGTCCCTGGGGTCAGATGGCATCAGGGCCATCAGGGAACAATCTGGGGGCTGCCAGAAGTTCATGTAATGCTCGCTGACGTCTGCAACAGTCAGAGCTACACTGAAACAATCAGACTTGCTGAGCAAGAGTCAGTGGGTTTGGGCACCAGCACTTTAGTCTCCTGGAGAACATTCTAGGGAAGGAAAAACTGAAAAATAAAGAAAAGCAAAAGAAAAAACTAGGCCAAGGGGGTCAGAAACAGTGGGACTACAGGATAGGCACAAGGGGGAGTTAGAGGGACAGGTCTGAGGGACACGCAGTCCCAGTGTCAGACACAGCACCAGAATTGCTAAGGGAGCAATCATAGGGCTCGGGGACTAGCCAGAGAGATCCGGGACAGCCCTTGTGTGTGGGGAGCACGCCCTGGAACAAGCAGCAGCCAGAGGGATTAAGAAGCAAGCCCAGAGCTTGAGGAAAGAGCCCCAGGAGTGGAGGGCAGAACCCAGGCACTCACTGTGCACATGTCACAGCCGGCAGCGTAGGTCTTGGTGAAGCCGGAACGTTGAGAGAAGCTCAGACTGTTCCAGGGAACCACGAAACTGCAAGTCGTGATGTGCAAGAGCCCGTTCCGCAGTTGTCCTAGGTGAAGGAGAAATCAACAGGCAGGATGGTTTTTCTTTCTTTTTTTTTTTTTTTTTTTTTTGATTGATTGTCTGGGCGGGAGAGGGGGATGGGTGGGGAGAGTGCCTGATTGGAGTTCTTAGCCTACAGATCCCCCATTGGGCAAAGTCCCTGCCTTCTGATAGGCTGGGATCGGCAGGTCTCATTTCAACCGGGAGGAGTCCCTTCTGAGCCTCGCCCCGGTGTCTGAGGGACGGGCAGGCGTGGCCCAGGGTGAGGGGAGGGGGCCTCACCAGCGATGAGAAACTCCTCGCTGCGGTTCTGGGATTTGTGGGAGTACCCGCAGACACTTTCCATGGCGGGGGTGTAGACAAACCGGATATCCGTGGCATGCCCCAAGGCGTCAAATCCTTTGAACATCTGTTGACAGATGAGGGGAAGAGTTGTTTACCGACATCATCCTCCCACTCCACCTTCTTCCCTGAAGTCATACAAGTATAGCATCCTGAGATCACCACTGACCTCCTGCCTAACCTGTGGCCAGAGCCTTCTATTTTTTTTAACTTACTTACTTGAGAGGGACACGGAGAGAGAGGGAGGGAGGGAGGAGGGGAGGGAGAGAGAGAGAGAGAGAGGGAGACCTCCCATCCATTGATTAACTCCTCCAATGTCTTGCAGCAGCTGGGGCTGGGCACGGGCCAGGGCCAGGAACCGGAAACTCCATCCAGGTCTCGCACAGGGGTGGCAGGGGCCCAAGTACTTGAGTCATCACTGCTTCCTGCCAGGATCCGCATTGGCAGGAAGCTGGAGTCAGGAGTTGGAGCTGGGAATTGAACCCAGGCACTCTGATGTCTTAACTTACAGACGTCTTAACTGCTAGGCTAAATGTCTGCTCCCAGAGGCCTCTATTTTGACCAGGAAGAAAGTGTTAGGGATGCTGGAGAAGGGGCAGGGGAGTACCTTGGTTGTCTTGATTTCATAACGCTGGTACAAGGTAGTATGATTGACTTCTGGAGCCCCCACAAACTTGGCCCTGATGACTGCAGGAGAGGAGGGGAAAGATGAGTCAGAGGGACTGCAAAAGCCAATAAAAATAAAGTCATCATCCTACTAATCCCAGGCAAGCGCATACATAAATAGGGATTACTGTATTCCAGACGGCACACTAAGCGATTGACACATTTGTGAATTGATTCATCTATATATCGAGTGACTCCTCTTTCCCAGGCACTGCTTGAACCTTTTTCATTTGTTCATTTGCCCATTGACTCAACAAATATTTCAGAGCATCTACTGTGTGCCAAGCACTGTTGTGGGTGTTAAGGACCCAACAGGAAACAAAACACAGACTTCCCTTTCCTTGTGGAGTTCACATTCTAGCCAGGAGGAGACTGACTAAAGACAAAGATGAGCACTGGGAAATGTTGGATGCTACTCGATATAGTGCGGAATTACAAAGCTTGGTGAGGGAGTCACCATGATTCTTTGCTTGGTCAAGCTTCAGTCAAGCTCCTAAACCTTCTCCTAGGCCCATCTGTGCACTTGCTTGCAAAAACCCAGTTTTAGCAAAGAACCCTGCTAGGTCCGTTTATCGCAAGAATCCCCCACCCTCATCTGCTCAGCCTCATTATCTGATGGGGTTCTTCATTCCCCAGCCCCCACCCCCAGGTGATGTCTCATCACCCTGGCCCACCTTCTGCAAATATCCTTTAGCCACAGTCCCCACTCCCCTTACCCCACATGTTTTCTCTTTCCACTGACCCCTGCCCTGTTCCTGGCTACAGATTCCCACTTGCCCATGTGGTATTTGGAGTTGAGCCCAGGCTCTCTTCCTCCCTGCAAAATCCCATTGGCATGGGTCCTCTTCCTGCACCTGTAGGGATGGTCCTGAATAAAGCATGCCTTACGGAGCTTCAACAAGCATCCTTGAATAAGTCTGTCTTTAACAGGGTGTGTAGAGTACTAGAGGGGCAGGAGTTAAAGTTTTAAGCACGATGGTCAGGGAAGGCCAGGGTGACACTTGACACAGCTGCCCATGTGTACACGGAGACAAGGTTACCAAGCAGAGGGTGCAGCCCGCACAAAGGCCCTGAGGAGGGCTTGAGCCTAGGGTATCCCTGAGGGTGTGGAGTCAGGGCAGAGGCAGGTGGAACTGCTCTAGAGGCAGGTGCCATCGAGAGGGAAAGCAAAGCAAGGGATTGCGGGCACAGTGGGTCCTGACTCACCAAGGTCGGAGTTGCAGAAGGCCGTCTGCGGGTGAGGTGGGACACAGGTGCAGGCTCTGCTGGGGGCTACCAGCCACAGCAGCAGCAGCATGCTGGAGGCCAGGGCTGCCAAGGGGGCCATGGTGGATTCTGCATGAGAGTACGGGTGTCAGGCAGCCTTCCCGCCCATGCTGCCCCAGGCTGGTCTGCAAGGGGATGAGGGGGCTGTGTGGGGGCTTGAGGAGTTGGGAATCTTGGGATTTGTAGGAGAAGGGGTGGGATTGCAGAGGTGTTCAGGGGTTTAGAGAGTTGGGAGAGTTGAGGGGTTTGTGGAGTTGGAGTGGCTTAGGGCACTGAGTCAGGTGGGGGATTGTAGGGTCTTGCATTTTGTGAATAAGGAGGGGTCTCAGAAAATCTGGAGGGAAAGGGAGTTGGGGTGGGGGCCAGAGAAGTCTGGGAGTTTCAGAACTGTACATATTAAGTGATGAAGAGGGTGGGGATTTCGGGAGGTTGAGAAATTTGGAAGAAGTTGGGGGTTTAGGGAGTTGTGTGAGTTTGGGAGCTCAAGGTGTTGGGGGGATTGGGTGTCTAAGGCGATGGGGCTACTTTAGGGATTTGAGGACAGACGAAGTGTTGAGGTTTAGGGGGTTGAGGATTAAGGAGTTCAGAGACTGGGCTAGGGGAGTTTAGGGAGCTGTGAAGGGGGGGCTGGGCTGCAGATTGAGGGGGTTAATGAGGGGCTTGGAGGCATTGGAAGGTTGGGAGGCGTTTTGGTATTAGGGGGTCATGGGTTTGGGGGCAATGGGGATGGATGCCAGGGATTCGAGGGGGGTTGCTGTGTCAGGGCCGGCAGCACTTCCAGCCCCCTCCCCGCTTGCCCTTGACCAGTCCAGGGTCCTGGTACCCGCAGGCCAGGCTGAGCAGCAGCAGAGGAATCTGGCACGGACCGGACAGGCCTGCTCGCCAGCGCACAAACTCCAGACCAGCCCCAGCCCTGCCGGCAGCCCAGGCCTCCACCCCAGCCTCACCCGCTTACCTCTAGCGTCTGTCCGGGCACTGGAGCAGCGGCGGTGATGGCGGCAGCACGGCCTGAGCAGTAGAGGATAAATGTCCACGCGAGGGGCGGGGTTGGCGCAGAAACCACAGGCCTCCAGGCTTCCTGGATGCATTACTCATCCGCCCACCGTCAGCGCAGAAGTCTAGGGGCGGGCCGAGGGCTGCCCAAAGGAGAGACACCCTCCTTCCCCTCCCCTCCCCCAGCTCCACGTCGGGCACATTCCTTCCAAGAGAGCTCGGCGGCGGCAGGATCCCCCCCCCCCCATTGAGTCCTCGAAAGTCTCCCACGGCTCTGCAACCGCCCACATCCGCCAAAATCCCCAAGGCTGAAGCCTGAATTTAGTCCATGCCTTCGATCTTCATTGTGCATCTGCTGTGTACCAGCACATGAAAATCCCAGCCTGGTAGAGGGGGGGAAGCAGAAACAGTGTGGACGGATTAGGCCGATGAATGGGGAAAAAGTCAAGGTGAAGACAGGCTGAGGCATAGGAGACATTACATGATTTAACACAAGATTGCAGTTGATAAATGGCCCAACTGAGGCTTGAACCCAGGTAGCCTGGAGCCACAACCTGGGTCTGAACCCTTCTCAAAGAATCACAGGCAAATGGCCAGCATTTATACAGCACCAACTGTGTACCAGGAACTCAGCACAATTGATTTCATTTAAAGCTCACAATTAGCCTCTGAGGTGGACACCAGGACTTGTCCCATTTTACAGATGAGAAAATAGGAGGCCAAGAAGGAGTGGAAAACTTTCCCAGGATCACAAGGCATGGCCAGGGTTTGAACCTTGGCTAATTGGTGCCAGGTGGGGCCCCGTGTTGGCAGGCAGGGAATGGTACCGGTGGATTAGTGAGCATTGGCAGGGGGGTTGGATGGTGGTGAAAGAAGCTAGTGAGTCAGTAGAAAACCCATCCAAACCCATCCCCACCCCATCCTGCCCTACCCCTTCCCCACCAGCCGGCCCACGCTCCTGTTAGCGGGGGGGGGGGGGGGGGCGGGGGGAGATGAGGCAATCACTGCCCACCAGTTTCCTGATGATGCTGGCATCTTCCGTGGGGTCCTGAAGAGGGTTCCGAGGGCTGATTAACCTCCTTGGTTAATTCAGGGAGGACAGAGCAATAAAAATCCTGACGATAGGGATAACGGCAGCCTCTTATTGAGCACTACTGTGTACTGAGTGCATTGGTTTTTTGTGTAAATTATCTCATTCCCTCTCCATTACTCCCTTGCTACTTAAACTTGATTAACTCAGAGAGGTTCGCTCAATAACAAGAGCACGGTAAAATTACAAAAGGAGTGGTGCTTCCTGCACATCAAACATGGGTGTAAAGTCACTCTGCTCGTGCCCTGTCCCTGATGAGCTCCTGGCTCATCAGTGTGCGTGATCAAAGGCCACAATATGGACAATGACAGTACCTAGCAGTCTTTGAGGGTGCAGGCTGACTGCTTGCTAAGCACTTCCCACCAAGTAACTAATCCATCCCTCTCCTTGCAGCATCCCTATGAGTTAGACACAAGCTCATTTTCTCATCATGCACGTGAAGAAACTGAGCCACACAAGGGTCATGTGACTTGCCCAGGAATGCAAGTTCAAAGGGTTCCCTTGGAGGGACCAAAAAAGGGAAGAAGGGAAGTAAACCAAAAGTATGTGGAAGCCGGGTTGTGAAAGTGGGGGAGTGAGAGTGAATGAAACAGGGGGCTGAGTAACTCGCCCGCAGGACAGGGAGGGAAGTGAAGGCAGGGAAAGTCCTCTCTTGGCCCCTGTGCCCCATGCTGACCCCAGCTCTGACGCCAGTGCTTTGAAACCTGAGCCAGCATTATTTTTAATAAGATTTATTTATTTGAAAGTCAGATTTACACAGTGAGAGAGGGACAGGCAGAGAGAGAGAGAGAAAGGTCTTCCATCCGCTGGTTCACTGCCTAGATGGCCACAATGGCTGGATCTGTGCCTGCTTTCCCAGGCCACAGCAGAGAGCTGGATCGGAAGTGGAGCAGGACTCGAACCGGCGCCCATATGGGATGCTGGCATTGCAGGCAGCGGCTTTACCCGCTACACCACAGCGCTGGCCCCCTGAGTCAGCAGTCTTGCCAGGGAAGGGTTGTGTGGATCCAGGTTCTTGTGCAGGTTTGGAATCAGGGGCAGGGGGCGGTGGGGAGAGGGGCTTCACGGAGGAGTGTCGGGTGTGTGACCGTGTGCGACCCGATGGGTATGAGGTCCAGCCGAAGTGTGCAGAGCAGACACCTGAGGATCCTCCCAACATACCACGTGCTGGGGCCTGACTGTGCCCTTTGTACAGATCGGGAAACTGAGGCCCAGAGAGGCAATCAGTAATTGGCCTGGAATGCACAGGGCTTTGCAAAGAAGAGAAGCTGAGATGCTGATCTAGAGTCCTATAGGCCATCCCAGGGTCCAGAGCTCCCAACAGGCACCCGTGTGCAGACACACACAGCACATACAGTGTTGTGTTCAGGCTCAGGTTCAGAAGAACCCAGGACACTTTCTGAAAAGAGAGCCCTAGAGACCTCAGATGGTAGGGGATGGGCATGTGTGCGCAGCTCTCTGGCATCTTGCTGCCTCTGGGCGCTGCCTGGACCCATGGGTGCTATGCTTTGGGGATGTGGCTGAGCACCCTGTACCACTTCACATGTTTTGTGTGCTGCTTCTGGGAGGTGTGTATCGAAGTCTGTGAAGTGGGTCTGGGTTCATGCACAGTTGTGAGTGTGCTGTTCACTCTGTGTGGTGTGGTGCCCAACTGGGACGTCACACGCATGCCTTGGCATCATGTCCCTGGCACACTGCCTGGAGGATCTCTGTCAGTCTCCCTGTCCGGACACTGGGCCTCTCAGCTCCCGCGAATGACGCCAGTCATTTAGGAAATGAGGAAGGCGGCGGGGGAGGAACAGAGGGAGGCGAGACCTGAAGGTCCATCGGTCACCCTGAGTGTGTGGGCTTCCTGTGCCTGTCGGGAACTGGGAGCCGCCACCGCCCCAGCAGCCCCTCCGGGAATGCCATCCCTCTGTCTGCGTGAGGGAGGGCCCTGCGCTTGCATACGTGCTGGCGGGGAGGGGCCTATGGTCATCCAGCTCAGTTCTCTCTACCGCCCCCCACCCGCCCCGGGTGCAGAGAGAATTCAAAGTATCCTTTCCCCCTGAAGCTGTGGGTGTCCACAAGTGCTGTATATTCCAGAGAGTTGCGGGTATCTCCCGTGGTGTGTATGTCTTTCCGTGCCGCACGAGGTGTGCGTCTAACCATGCTCCCAGGAGTGTGCTATGGGTCTCAGTGGTTGTGTGAAAGTGGAGAGGTGCACGTCCCTCTGTTAAGTCGTGTAGATCCTTTCAGTTGCTGGGCATGTGCCTAGGAGTTGCACGTGCACCTGTGAATATTGAGCAGGTGCCCGGTTTTGTTGAGTGTGCCCGCTTGAGTTGTGTGTGCCTCTGTTTCATATGGGTAATCCTTTGTGTGCTGTGTGTCTGGCCGGTGTGTGGGTTTGGGCAAGGGGAGGGAGCCTGTGTGTGTGTGTGTGTGTGTGTGTGTAGGGGGTGCCCCCAAGGGCTGACTATGTAAGGGTGTCAGGAGCATGTAGCCCAGGAGTGCTGGCCACTGTGCCATGCTCTTGAGACCTGGAAGGCTAAGCAACAGTGTGGACTGGGGTGCAATCCCCAGAGCCCAGGGCACTTTCAGCTGGCATTGCTGGTCAGCCCCAACGTGCCTGGGCATCTCTCGGTTCTGTTGTGTAGGTCTGAGTTCTGAGGGTTTGTGTGTGTATCCAAAGGATGTGGGGTAGGGGGAGAGGCTTTCTACAAGTTTAGGCTGAGAGGCCAGTTGCTATATGCTCAACACACACACACACACACACACACAAACCTACCTCCCTATCATCTATTCACTGTATAAACAAACTTAATCTTTTCTGGAAAAGTCCTCCACCCATATCCCATGTCTCTGCTCGGGAAAGCAGAGGCAGGAAGTCTGGGACTTGGGGGAGTAAAGGGAGGGACAGGCAGGCAGGGCTCTGGGTTCGAGTTTGAGCTTGGACCTGCTGAAGCCCGCACACTCAGGGTGACCGATGGACCTTTGGGTCTTGCCCTCCCTCTGCTACTCCCCCCCCCCCCCGCCTTCCTCATTTCCTAAATGACCGCCATCTGTCTACGACTCGACCGCCTCTTCTGCAAAATGGCTCTTAAGGCAGCTCTCGCTGGATGGGATCCCCTCAGCCCCCCATGGCTAGCCCTCCTGCCCTGACCACACCTCCTCTGCCTTTGCTCCCACCAGCTCAGCAGCACAACATACCCGGTGGTTGTGAAGATGGGGCATGCGCACTCCGGCATGGGCAAGGTGAGTTCCCGGCTGTGGAAGTGTGTGCATACGTGCACGTGCATATAGTGCATGGGCCTGGCCCTGCGTGTATGCAGGCAGATGTGGGTATATTCAGCACACACCAGTAACACTGTACGATCGTGTGTCCTGGGTGTCTTCATCTGCTTGGACTTGAATTTTCTTGACATTCAACTGTTTTTGTCTGCCCTTTTTCCTGTGGTGTGTTCAGCCGATGTTGTATCCTGTCATTTTGCCAGTGTGCTCAGCCTTGCACATGCGTGTGTGTGTGTGTAGAGGCTCTTGAGGTCCTGTATGCTTTTCTAGCCCAGCCGACTGTGTCTGTGCATATGTAGAAAGCAGACTATTTGTTAGCCCGAGTGTGTCCAAGCTTCTGTTTGTAGAGTGTGTGTGCAGCTGATAGTGTGTCTGGGTGCCCCTAGGCACGTACTGTATATACACACAGCTTTTTTCACAGATTTATTGAGATCTTATTCACACACCATACTACTTACCCATTTAAAGTGGAAAATGACATTAGTAGTCTCAGAGTCGTAGGCACACAACCTCGGGTCTGCTCAGACATGTGTAAAATGGGAGAGCCACAGTTCTGCTTGCTTCAGTGCCTTGGTGTGCCCGCTTAATTTCTGTGTGCTCACCTCACTTGGGTCATGTGTGCACACACACCCCCCGAGGCCCCCACTCCCCACTGCTTTCCTGCCTGGACCACACCCTGATGTCTGCCTCCATGCTCACAGGTCAAAGTGGACAATCAGCATGACTTCCAGGACATCGCAAGCGTTGTGGCGCTGACCAAGACATATGCCACTGCCGAGCCCTTCATCGACGCCAAATACGATGTGCGTGTCCAGAAAATCGGGCAGAACTACAAGGCCTACATGTGAGTAGAGAAGCCAGGACCTGGACAAGGTCCCCTGCACTGCCCTGTGTGGCCCAGTCCCCCTGAGCCCCCCTCTCTCTCTCCCTTTGTCCCCCCAGGAGAACGTCAGTGTCAGGGAACTGGAAGACCAACACTGGCTCTGCAATGCTTGAGCAGATCGCCATGTCTGACAGGTGGGTGGCCTGAACTCAAGGTGCAGAGAGTGGCAGTGTGGCCGCTTAGGTAAGGCACTAACAGGCTCCTCCCCTGCCCCTTGTCTTCTCTTGACAGGTACAAGCTCTGGGTGGATACATGCTCGGAGATTTTTGGGGGACTGGACATCTGTGCAGTGGAAGCGTTGCATGGCAAGGACGGAAGGGACCACATCATTGAGGTGGGAGCACCCACGGGTCAGCGGGGCATAGAGGAAGGAACAGGTGCCTGCCAGGAACACTCCAAACTGTGAAGCGCCCGTGGTTCGGAGGTCCTCTGTGAATGGCAATGCACTGAATAAACTGTAAAGTGCCTTGCGTTTTGGGATATCCCTGGCAAATGGCAAAACATGTATTGGGATATCCCTGGCAAATGGCAAAACAGTTAGTAAACTCTAAAGTGCTTGGTGGACTTGGGCATCCATGGCGAATGGCAAGCATTTGTTAAACTAGAAAGTGTTTTGTGAATTGAGACATTGTTGCAGATGGCAAAGCACTCGGTAACCTTTAAAGTGTTCTGTGAACCCCGCCAATGGCAGCACGCTTTGTAAAAGGACAGAGCCTAGCCAACGAGGAAGCACTGACTGGGAACCATTTTCTGCGAAGGACCAGACAGGGCATATTTTAGGCTCTGTAGGTCATACATACTCAACTTGGCAAAAGCAGTCATGGATGATAGATCACAAAAATCATTGTGGCTGTGTTCTAGTTAAACTTTCCTCATGGATACAGAATGTAAATTTCAGATCGTTTTCACATATCATTAAATCTTCTGATTTTTTTTCAATTATTAAAAAAAAAATCACCCATTCTAAGTTCATGGGCCATACAAAAAGAGGTGGTGGGCTAGATGAGGCGTGCGCCTGCTCATTTGGTCGGCCCTGCTCGGGAGTGCCTCCCCAGTGCCTTGTAAAGCCAAGCCTTCTCACAGTGCGCCATGAGTGAGTGCGTCTTAGAAACCAAAGCTCGCTTCCTCGCCGTCGCCATGCCTTGTGCCAGCTGAAAGCGTGTTGTTACTATGGCTTCCTGTGCACTTCCTGCCTCTGCCCTCACCGCATCCCTCTCCCATCTCCCCCAGGTGGTGGGCTCCTCCATGCCACTCATTGGGGACCACCAGGATGAAGACAAGCAGCTCATCGTAGAGCTCGTGGTGAACAAGATGGCTCAGGCCTTGCCCCGGCAGCGGCAGCAGCAGCAGCAGCAGCAGCAGCGGGATGCCTCACCTGGCAGGGGCTCCCACAGCCAGGTCAGGCCCCTGGTGCTGAGCTAGTGGTGGGGAGGCCAGCCCTGGGGCATGTGGTTTCCTTGAACCCATCATCCACCGGCTAACAACATCACCTTTATGCACAGGAGGTGGCGATTGCCAATTGCTAAAAAAAATGACACATAACTGCTCCCCTGATTGCCCTGAGTGCCTCCTGACCCCCGACTGAGGAGTGGGAGAGTCACCCATCCCATAACTCCCCACCCCCGCCCAGCATCCCTTCAGCTAGGCCACAAGTGGGCAACACCCAGCATACAGGGAACCTGTGTCCCTCTGATTGGTTGATGCTCTGCTGGCTCGGAACTATTTTTAACCTCTCCTGTTCCACTCCTCTGCCGCAGACTCCCTCCCCAGGGGCCCTGCCCTTGGGTCGCCAGACCTCCCAGCAGCCTGCAGGCCCCCCAGCTCAGCAGCGACCTCCACCACAGGGTGAGTATGGGGCCAGCTTTTTCAGCTCTGACCACTCAGCAGGCCGCCCCACCCCTCCCCTGCACTTGCTTATTCTCACATGTGCACTCTCTCTCTTTCTGTCCTCTAGGTGGCCCTCCACAGCCTGGCCCAGGCCCCCAGCGCCAGGGACCCCCGTTGCAGCAGCGCCCGCCCCCACAGGGCCAGCAGCATCTTTCAGGCCTTGGACCCCCAGCTGGCAGCCCCCTGCCACAGCGCCTACCGAGTCCCACATCGGCGCCCCAGCAGCCTGTATCCCAGGCTGCACCTCTGACCCAGGGTCAAGGTCGCCAATCCCGGCCAGTGGCGGGAGGCCCAGGAGCGCCTCCAGCCGCTCGTCCGCCTGCCTCCCCATCTCCCCAGCGCCAGGCGGGTCCCCCACAGGCTACCCGCCAGACATCCGTCTCTGGTCCAGCTCCACCAAAGGCCTCAGGGGCACCACCGGGTGGGCAGCAGCGCCAGGGCCCTCCCCAGAAACCCCCAGGCCCTGCTGGCCCCACACGCCAGGCCAGCCAGGCAGGTCCTGGGCCCCGCACTGGGCCACCCACCACGCAGCAGCCTCGGCCCAGCGGCCCAGGCCCTGCCGGACGTCCTGCCAAGCCACAGCTGGCCCAGAAACCCAGCCAGGACGTGCCGCCACCCGCCACCGCCGCTGCCGGGGGACCCCCGCACCCCCAGCTCAAGTAAGGGGACCCCTACGGAGGCCTCACCTCGCTGCTCACAGAGCAGGCTCCGACCCCGCCACAGCAGCCCGAGCGCCCGGGCTACAGACCCAGGCCCTATTCGGGGATCCCATGAACTCTCTCCAGCCTGAGCCAAACCCCTCCCCAAAGCGTTCGCCCCTCCCCTCCGTCCCAGTTCCTCTGGCCTCCATCCCAGGGATTTCGTGCCAGGATCCCAGAGAAACCACTTTGGGTTCAGATTTCTCCTGAACAGGGCTGGGAAGAGTCCTCTCCAGCAGGCCCTCTGGGCCTGTCCGGTGGCCCTGCCCACTCACCTTCAGGGCTAGAGCCCAGTCCACCCCCTTCACTCTCCTCCTCCCAGCTGCTCCCCAAACCCCACTCCAGGCCTGATTCCTAAACCCTATTTCATTCCGCTCTTCCCAATAGTCTAGGCTCCTTTCTGGTCCATCCCCCAATAATCCTGCAGTCTCCTCCCAAGTCATCCCAACACAGTCTCTACCTTTGCCCCACCCCCACCTCCACCCCCAGCTGAAATCCTGCCCCTCCCAACTGCTCTCCCTCACACTGACTTGCCCCCTGCCAGCCTGTGCTCCCAGAATCCTCACATCCAGCTCGGAGACCTCCCCCCTACCCCACCCCCACCCCCAGGGCCTTCCCCTTTCCATCAGACCAGCCTAGAATTCGGGAATTCAGCTCAGGCCTCTTCCTGTGAATGCATTTTTTCACCTTGGACCTAAGTCCCCCCAGCCTGTCCCAGAGCCCTGTCCTGACCCAGGACGCCACCCACTTGGGGGTCCTCCCAGCCTTGAGAATCCATCAGGGTCCAGGCCCATGGTGGTGGGTGGGAAGGTCACAGGCACAGCCCCAGGATCAGAGGGGCAGGGCTGGGGCCGGGCCTGGGGTAACATTGTGTTTCTCTCCCTTCCTCCCCTTCCTCTTCCCCCCTTCCTCCCATGCCTCCCACCTTGTCTCTCTCTAGCAAATCCCAGTCTCTGACCAATGCCTTCAACCTTCCAGAGCCAGCCCCGCCCAGGCCCAGCCTTAGCCAGGACGAGGTGAAAGCTGAGACCATCCGCAGCCTGAGGAAGTCTTTCGCCAGCCTCTTCTCCGACTGACACCCCACCCTGAGAACCCCCAAATCCCTGGGCAACCCTTCTCTGGGCCCTGAATCCATTTCTCACTTTTGGAGTCTCCAGATCCCTTGAGAACCCCCTCTGCTGGTTCTCCCAGACCCCACTTCTCATTCTTCAAGATGCTCACATCCCTTGAGAAACCTCATGCCTGGTCCTAAACCTCATTCTCCCATCTGCAAGTTCCAGGTCCTTTTAGAACCCCACTCCTGCTCTCCGCCAGGTTGGTGTTAGAACCTCCAAGTTCCCAAAGGCCTCCTCTGCTGGTCTCCCCCAGAGGGCGTTTCCCTTCCTGGAAGCCCCCAAACACCAGGCCACTCGTTTCTAGCTCAGACACCACTTGAGCCTCCTCTGGAGCCCTGAAATTCCTGGAAAACCCCACTCCTGGTCCCAGATCTCCCCAGCACAAGAAACCCCTACCTTTGAGCCCCTTTCCACGGATCTCCTCGCTCTCTCTCTGGAGATCCACACCTTCGAACACCACCCACCACCAGGATTTCCCTGCGCCCACTCCTCCAAGTCCATTCAGCACTTTGGGAGCTCCTCCCACTTCCAGGACCCTTCGGTTCCCCCAGGGACACCCTCCCCAGATTTCCTGCCTCTGACAGCTGTCTTTAAATATGCAAACTCCACCCATCCTCTCAGAATCCTTTGCACATGGAAGGCCAGCGGTCTCCCACTTCCCCACCTTTGCCGTGACGTCTGTGTCTGTGACTGATGTGGCCTCCTCTCGTGCCGTGCTTGGCATATGTGGTCCTCGTTCATCGTGCCGCCTGTGGTGACGCGTGCAGTGACGCTGTTTGTGTGGTCCGCACCTCCCCCTCCCACCTCCACTCCTTGCCTGGACTCACCCCATCCCTCAGCGGCTCTGAACCCCAAGAGAAGAGTCGGGAAGCTAAATAAACAAGCAAAGGCCCAGCAGAATTCTGTGCTTCTTGGTGAAAAAAGAAGGGAGTCCTTGAATGGCAGGGGACACACACACACACACACACAAAAGGGGACCCCCAAATCCACACGGGGTGCTGGGGACCCCAAAATCCAGTGGAAGGCACATCAGGCACAAATTCCAGAGAGGTTCTGAGTGGAATCCCTGCCACAAATCCCATCCTTTAGGGATGGAGGAGCTCCCCAAATTTACAAGTATCCCCAAAGCCAAGAGCAAAACAAATTACGGAGGGGGCAGGGGGTCTCAGTCTTTGGGGGAATCCCCCAATTCCAGACGAACTGGAAGAGCACATTGGGGACCCCTCATCCCCCAGGGTGGGGGATGGGGGATCCTGAGGCAGTATCAAGGCAGAGAAGGAACATTGATTGGTTGGTGGGTGGGCAGGGCTCCTTGGCGTGGCAGGCTGAGATTGGCCCCCGCTGGCTGAGGGTGGGGCCTAAGGCACAAGGCGGGCTGCACTGAGGAGGCAGGCAGGCAGCTCGTCAGCCTGGGTGCGGTGCAAGGAGGGTTCGGAGGCACTCCGCTCAATCTTGGGGAGTGACCGTTGCAGCAGCTCAATCGTGGCCAGGATCTGGAGGTGGGAGGAGGGGAGCGGTGAGCAAGGATGTCCAAAGTCCCGTGGGTACCCTAATACCTCCAGGCCCCAGCCTGATGGGGAAACACACACACCGCATACACCTGGGAGCCTCCAACATGGTTCACAGTCACACCTAGCTCGATCTCTTCCAAGTCCCTCCTCCTCCTCCGAGTCCCTCCAGGGTGCCCAGTCCTCCCAAGTGGTTCACCTGGGGGAAGAGAGGCCGCTCCTCCCGCTGGAACTTGAGGCAGTCAGACAGCAGACGCCGCATGGCCTTGGGGCAGTTGCTGGAGATTTTACTGAGGTCCGGGGACAGATAGCCACGGCCCACCATAAAGATGATCTGGGCAGGGGCAATAGAAAGGAGGTGACCTGGTGTCCAGGCCAGGAAATTCTGGCATTTGAAGGATGCAAGAGGCTCATTTTGGGGGTTCATGGGGTACTCTGAACACTAGAGCTGAGGATTATGGGTCTCTAAGGACATGACAAGATTCTCTACTTACAGAACAGAGGGAGTTAATTTGGGAGGTGTCAAGGATTTCAGGTGTCTGGGGCCCAGAGAATTATGGATCCACAAGTTTTCAGGGAGCTTATGGCCTGGACAGTACTAGGTCTTGAGAAAACATGGAGTTCTGGCTCTAAGGGACCTTGTATTTCTTTGGAGCGTGGGGCCTAGAAGTCTATGGCTCCATGTGGCCTGTATAAGACTATGTTTAGGATCCAAAGACTTGGTAACTGTAGCCTGGGTTTCTGAGGCCTAGGGAGGTTCTGGGCCTTGAACTTGAAGAACTGTGAGAGTCCAGAGCCCCCAATCCCACCAGATAACCAACACCTGGGTGACTGTCAGTGTCTATTTATTCTGGAAGCACAGACGGAATGTTTCTGGAGAAATGAGATTCTGGGCTAAGGAAACTGGGGGATTTTGAGTATCCAGAGGTCCTGGGGGCTTCTGGGTGTTGTGTGGGGGGGACCCAAGGGATTCAAGGGATTCTGGACTTTGACGATTGTGTCACAGAGGAATGTGGATGTGTAGGAAGGAGAGGAACCTGAGTATGGGAGACCAAGAGGATTTATAAAAATTGTCTGGAGTCCAGAGGATTCTGGGAGTTCCCCTCTTAGAAAATTTGAGCTTCCTGGGGCAAGTATGGCATTTTTGATCTGTGCAAAGGAAGGATCTGGAGTGTGGAAGCCTGAAGGGGTCCCACAGTCCAGGGAACTGTGAGTCCGGCGTGCAGCTCACCTGGTCACGGCTGCCAATGTGGCTGTAAGGCAGTGAGCCGGTCATGAGTTCGTAGAGCACAACCCCGTAGGCATAGACGTCCGACTGGAAGCTGTAGGGGTTCGGGTCCTGCATGCGGATCACCTCAGCCGCCTTCAAGAAGCCAGACCAGACAGGGAGGGGAGTGTGGGAGTCAGCGAATGGCTGGCCCATACTCTTACATGCCACTGGCCACAGCAGGTACAACTCAGAGGCACTCAGATGAGGGAGAACGTGAGTAGTTCGGACATCCATAGCTGATGTAGGGATCCCCGTCCCTGCTAAGACCACATACCACAATCCAGGAGCCCATGTCCCCATGGGCCCCTGACCACTGTGGCCCAACTCACCATCCAAAGCACAGAGCCTGAAGGCTGCTCCAAGGGCTGGGCCCCGCTCCACCGCGTCTTCACGGTGGCCAGGCCAAAGTCACCGATCTTCACTGTGAGCCCCTCATGTAGGAAGATGTCCACCAGAGTCAAGGGCCACTACAGGGACTCCTAATAGCCACATCTCTCACCCATGAGTGCCCCAGACCAGAAACCCCTCAATGTCACACAAACCATGCACAACCTGGATGGGAGAGGGGAGCTCCAAGCGATGCCTTCCACATTGGGCCCCCCTCTGTGACTCAGCCAAGAAGGCCCTCAAATGGGATCTGAACCTGCCCTGCCCTGCTCAGAGAATTTCCACACCTCAGACCCTGACCAGTCTCCAAGAATCACACGTGAACCAGGAGCACTTGACTCCTCACCAACAGCCCTCCCCAAAGCCCCCTCGCAGGCTGCTAGCCATGTTGACATAGGCCCCTCCCTCTTCAACCCCAGAACACACCCGTGGGAACCAGCCCTCTAAGCCCTCACCCAGAAACAGGTAGATACTGTTAGACTTGAGGTCTCGGTGGATGATGTTCTTGGCATGGAGGTAGCTGCGGAGGTAGAGGCAGGTAGTAATTGGCTGGGTGCTCCTATACACCTATCTCTCCCCTCCCCCAAACCCTGAGACTCACTCCATGCCCTGGGCAGTCTGCCGGGCCACGTCGATGAGCTGGACCATGTCAAAGCGCGTGTCGGCCACATGTAGGTGGTGGTAGAGGCTGGAGCCCTCGCACCACTGTGTGATGATGGCAAAGCCCGGTCGGGTCATGAAGCCCATGAATAGCAAGATGTTGACATGCCGTGTCTTCCTGTGGGTGGGGAGGAAAAACAGCGACTGTCAGGTCCTTGCTGAACATCGGGAATGGCACTGTTTGTTGCCCTCTTCTGTCACTCCTTTTCACTTTGTCTTTTAGGGCACTCAGGGTCAGACTGCTGCCAGGTTCCATCAGTGTGTGAGACACGTCTGCTGGGGACTTACGCTCTGAGCTTCCTCATCAGTGTCTCCCCACAAAAGCAGGAGGGAGGGAGCAGCAGCCCCACCCCTCTGCCTACCAGCAGCATCTCCAACTGTTAACACCCTCTACACCTCTGCCATAGACCATTACCTGGGCCTGCTGCCAACCCTCTTCACTGATACACTGACATAACACTGAGATAAATGCAAGGTAAACATACTGGTGATACAGTGATTACAGCCTCTTAATTGCCGTGACAGGCTTCGAGGTAGAGTTTGGAGTCTGGGCCCTTGTTACATCCTCAGTTCAAAACTAGACTTCACCAGTTACTGTACAGCCTTGGGGAAGACATTTAACCTCTTTGGGCCTCATGTCCCTCAACTGTACAACTGTGATCACTAGAGTAGCTACCTTACAAGGATGTCCAGTGGAATAAGCGAATAAGCAATCTATAAGGTGCTTAGCGCAGCGCTGAACATACAGAGTAAGCACTCTGAAAATCTCACTCTCAGGAGTGGGCACTGTGCCACAGAGGGTTAAGCCGATGCTACGGATGCCAGTATTATATATTGGAGTGCCAGTTTGAGTGCCAGCTACTCTGCTCCAACCCAGCTTTCTGCTGATGCACACCCTGGGAGGCAGCAGAGAATGGCTTAAAGTACTTAGGTCCCTGCCACCTACATGGGAGACCTGGAGTGAATTCTGAGCTTCTGGCTTTGGCCTGCCCAATCCTGGCTGTTGCAAACATTTCGGGGAGTAAACCAGTACATGGTGTCTCTCCCCCACCCCATTCCTCCCCTTCCCGACTCTCTGCCTCTCAAGTAGATGAAAATAAATGAATAAACATTTGAAAACAAGAAAAAAAATTAAAATGTCATCTTCCTGTTCTTGCTGCTAGGTACATGGGTCTATGTTGCGGGAACTCGGTCTCTATGAATCATTTCTCCCTACTTTGAGAAAATCTTCATTCCTTACAGAAAGAAGTAATAGCCACAGACACACTGCTAGCAGAAATGCAAATAGCATGGATGCCATTTTGCTCACATCAGAGGATAACACAGCACACAAGGATTCTAAATAGTGGTTAAGACTATGGTTAACACTGAATGAGAGTAAAAATGAACAGCATTCAACTGCCAGCTCACAGAGAGGAACCCAGAACAAGAGTTTTCTACTGTGACATTCATTATGAGGATAAAGACTAAGATCACACAAGTGTGTGACACACACTGAAAGTAAAAGAATGGGAAAAGATACACCATGCTGAGAGAAAGCAAAAAAAAGAATGGAGTAGCCATCCTAATATCAGAAAAAAAGGATATTAATACAAAAACTGTTAAAAGAGACAAAGAAGGGCATGATAAAATGATTAAGGGATCAATTCAAAAGGCAGATATGACTATAATAAATGTATATGCACCCAATGCCAGGGCACCTGGCTATTTAAAACAAATGTTAATGGATTTAAAGGGAGAAACAGGCTCTCATACAATAATAATAGGGGACTTCAACATCCTACCTTCATCAATGGACAGATCAACTAGACAGAAAATCAACAAACAACAGAGCCATTCTATACAATGGACAAAACAGATCTAATTGATATCTACAGAACACTTCATCACACAGTTGCAGAATGCACATTCTTTTCATGAGTTCATGGAACATTCTCTGGGACAGACCATATGCTAGGCCATAAAGCAAGTCTCAACAAATTCAAAAAAACTGAAATCATACCACATATCTTTTCTGACCACAATGGAATGAAGCTGGAAATAAGCAACTTCAGAAACTCCAGAAAATATGCATA